AAAACACCGAAATCGTGCATGTGCGGAGCGGAAACGTGAAAATGGCATTACTACAATGGATGGCCTTCTCATTCGCCTGATTCCAATCTCATCGGAAACATTTAGACAGTCATGAAGATCAAACTCTGGGAAAAAAAGGTTTTTCATTTAAAGAAGCTCGTTCGTCACATACGGGAAATCTCTTCCTGAGACAATGGCTGAAAATCTCGTGGAAAACATGCTCCGACGCTGCCAAGCCATACTCGATAACAAAGGAAATTGGACAATTTTCTAAATAAACGTATTTCATTTATTGAATTTATTAATATATTTAAATCAAATTTTTAACAATTTTGTGTTTTTTTTTAGGAGTAGCAGCCCGTACGTTCTTAGAATAGACTGTATTAACGACTACATTTTAAATCCTGCTAATCCTTTTTCTATGTGGACTCTCTAAATATTAACATCAATGACAAAGATATATTAACGAAATATAAATTTCCTGTAGTAATTGGAAGAGGTTGCAATTTTAGGATTTTAATCGCGCAAAGTCAATATCTGTATCTCTCAACGCTTCTTCTTATGTAATATCCTAAATTTTTTCTTTTATATTTAGGTCCGAAGGCGAATCGCGGTTGCAGACAAACCATCGAATTACGAGGGTGGATCAAATATAAACGAGCATTTTGCAAAAAACCATATATCTTTCAAAATCAATTCTAATTTACATTTTTCTTATTTTCCTACATAGTCTTTCATCTTATCTATACACTTCTTTCAACGGTCTGGTAATTTTTCGATCCCGGTATCATAAAAAGTTCGCGGATGTGTATTAAACCAATTGTACACGAACTGCTGCACCTCCTCGTTCGTTATGAAGCGCTGTCCACCAATGGCTTCCTTGAGTGGCCCAAACATATGGAAGTGGCATGGTGACAGGTCTGGACTGTAGGGTGGATGTTCTAGGACAGCCCAGTGCATATCGGCCAATTTTTGTTGTGTCTCTGCTGCGGTGTGGGGTCTGGCGTTGTCATGGAGAAGCAACACACTTCTGATCGGAATACCGCGCCTTTTTGACCGATGGGCAGCTCGAATTTGGCTAAGAAGATCACAATAATAGGCAGCATTAATGGTTCGACGTTCTTGAAGAAAATCGACCAGCAGAAATCATTTACAATCCCAAAAAACTATGGCCAAGACCTTCCCTGCAGACAACCTCGCTTTCACCGGTGCACCCTCACCAGTCTTCCTCCACACCATACTGGCCCTCTTTGATTCAGGGGTGTAATGATGGACCCAAGTCTCATCGTACGTGACGATTTTTTACAAAAAAATTGTCACCTTCCCTCTCATATCTCGTTAGGAGCCTCCGAGAAATTTCAAACCGCACAGCTTTCAGCTCTGCATTCAGCAACTTTGGAACCCAATGAGCCGACACTTTTCGAAATCTCAATTCATTGCGAATGATTGATAGCATACTTCCATAGCTGATCTGAAGTTCCTAAGAGATTGCAAGAACAGTTAAGTGCCGATCGCCTTCGTTGAGTTCTCGATCAGTCTCGGTGCTCTGCGCTGTGATGCTCTTGCGTGAACGGCGCGGATGGGCAATGTTTTCAGCATGCTCCCGTTCTTTCTTAAATTTGTTACACCACTGCTTCACCTGAGCCCATGAAAGGGTTCTTTCCCCGAACTGGGGGAGTAAACGGCGCTGAAGTTCAGCAGCATTTACATTTTTGTTGACGAGAAACTTAATAATAACTAGTTGTGCAACTGCGGGGTATATCTCTTTCCCGCTCATCGTGATTGCTGCTAAGAATAAGAAGCACGTGGAGCGTCAACGTTATTACTGCTTTCCACATGACCCCCCCCCCCCCCCCCCTGTCCAAAACGTTGCAGACCCCTTACCCCCCCGCCGGGGGCGCAATTTAAAAAGG